TGTGTGTGAGGAGAAATGTTCAAACCTCTGACAGAAAAATAAATAATGAAATAAAATACTTGAAAATAAAATAAAACATTAATAAAATAATATAAATATTATGAAAATATATATATATATAATATATATATATATATATATATATAAATTTTGAAAAGAAAGAATTAAAAATTAAATATATGAATTTTTAATTTTCTAATTGATAGAGACAATTAATAGTTGGCTTTAAAGTTTGACCAGATCCCCAACGGAGTCGCCAAGCTGTCGTAACCGATTTTCGTCCGGGCACGAAATATTTATTTGGCGGGAAAAATAATATAGATAAAAAATGATTTTTTTTAAAAATGTTTTGGGAGTCGCCATCGGCCTTTTGAGTCAGGTAGGTCGAATACCTAAAAATTATCTTTTAAAAGAGTTTTTAAGAAAACATCAGTTAAAAGATGAAATGATCTGCGTTTATAACCAAAAATTCGTTCTTTTTAATAATAAAAATGGATTCGTGGTCGGTTACGTTTAGGGAATGATTAGCACCCCTATAACGCCCAAAATTGGTACTTTTTAATTATACATTGTCTCTAATAATAGAATTTTAAGAATTCAAATATATTTAATTTATAATTCTGTTATTTCAAAAAAAAATTTACTATAATTTTTAAGAAAATATATTAATTTATAAATATTTATAAAAATATTTATTTATTTAGAATATCAGAAAAGGACTTCTAGGTGCCTTAAGACAACTCTTTTCTTCGATATAAAAAATAAATAAATATTGATAAAATATTTATCTAAAATAATAAAAAATTAGATTAATATATATAATTGATAAAAGTAAAATATTTATTTAAAAATATCAGAAAATGGACATCCAGTTGCTTTAAGACTACCCTTTCTTAATATTTAAATAAAAATAATAATTTTTTCTAATAAAATAAAACAATATATGTGTTTTTATGTTTTTATAAGTAAGATATTTATTTATTTTTAAAATATCAGAATAGGACATCTAGTTGCTTTAAGACTGCCATTTTATTTGATATTAAAAATAAATATTATTATTTAAACTATATATATATATATATATATATATATATAAAGAATAATGAAAGTAATAATTTACATATATATTAAGTAATAATAAAATAATTGCAAATGAATAATGATTAAAATAAAGGTATTAAAAATATAGTGTTAAAATGTAAAATATTAAAAATTCATAGTCAAAATTAAAAATTAATGATTAAAATGTAAAATATTAAAAATTATAATTATAATTCTAAGTAATAATATAATATGGACATTAATAATAATTCTAAATATATATGTAAACATATCTAATCCGTGGCAAAAATATAAATAAAATAAAATTAAAATTCCAAATTAAAAGACATATAAATTGGTTTTAGTGGCTAAAATGGAAGTTTATAAACTTTTGGTGACTATGCGTATGGTTTAACCATACATGAATTTGCACAAATACCCCTCCACCAAAACGACGTCGTTTGGTGGAGGGTATTTGAACCCAAACGACCGGCCCTTCGGGTCTGTCTCTCATTTTCTTCTTTCTCTCTTCTTTCTCTAACTGAGAGAGAATTTTTAACTCTCTCGCCTCTCTCTAAAACAGAGAAGGAGACCACCAGCCGACAGCTGTGCTCCGGCGTCGGTCACCACCGCCGGCCACCACCCATGGTGGCCGGAAAATTAAAAATATACTCAAAATGAAGCTCTGACCTCCCCTGGCCGAATCCGACCTCTTTTTCCCTTAAACAACCTCGAAATTACCTAAATCTACAGAAATACCCACGGTATTTCGGTTTCTTTGGCAATGTGTGTGGAGATTCTGACGACGGCGTAGCTTCCTCGGTGGTAAGTCTTCTCGTCTTCTTCTTCTTACGTAGTCGTCTGGGATCGTTGGTGTAGTTCTTGCTCTCGTGGTCTCTCGTTTCTGTTTGATGTCTTCCTCTTTCGTTTTGCAAGATCCGGTGGCTTTTATAGCCACCACGGAGCCATGCTCGGACAGGTCCAGAGGGGGAAGTTCGGTGAGTCACTGAGCTATGTGGTGACTCACCCCATAGCCGCGACGTGTGGGGGGCAGCTGGCCTTCTGGAATCCTCTGTTGGCGTCGTGGCAGCAAGGTGTCGTCGTCGTGGGGCAGCTGGCAGTGTCTGGAGGCAGCAGCGTGGGGCACTGGCAGTGTCTGGAGGCAGCAGCTGGGATCTTCTGGAAACTTGAGGTGGCGGCATCAGTGCTAGGGTTTAGAAACCCTAGCTGAAACCCCAAATGTTTAAGGTTTCCATCTAGTCTGGGCCGGTTCTGGTTGGGCCTGGGGTTTGTATTTGGGCCTCAACTTTGGGCTTTGTAATATTTAATAAATAATATATAATATTAATTAAATAATTATAATAAATAATAAATAATAATAATAATAATAATTTTTTTAATAATAATAATAAATTTAAATTTAAAATGAAAAAATTGATGTCTACAGGTTTTATTGAGGGGGAACTTTGACTTTTTAAATAATTAATGTCAAAATTATCACTTACTCTTCATTGTTGTTTTGTAGTTTTAAAGTTGAATTATTTTTTATTTAACAAAAAGGGGAGAAGTAGTGTTTTTAAAAATTCAATTTCAATAATGAAAAGGGGAGCTTTAACATTTTCCAAAATATGTCTCTTTTTCATTAAATGTTTTGTTAATGGAGTTTTGCCAAAAACATTTTTCAAATGTTTTGTTATAACAAAAGGGGGAGATTGTTGAACTATGTTTTATAATGTTTTGATATATCAATTAAAGGCAAAATATTTTTGGACTAAAATGAATTTGTTCAAAGTTTTCAAAAGATTTCAAAAATAATTCAAAGTCCATTAAACAAGGATTTGAGCACAAAACTATTTTTCAAAGTACGAAGTATCAATAATGTTCTTAAAGTATCGATACTATATGAACAGTACTGACATTGTTCATGTGGTATCGATACCAAAGGTAAGAGAAGTATCGACACTCTCAAGGTAGTATCGATACTACCAGCTTGCTCAAATTCTATAATGCAAAATAGGTATCGATACTCAAAGGAGTGTCGATACTACTTTACATAGAAGTATCGATACCATCATCATAGTATCAATACTGATCAAGCCCAACGGCTAGTAACAACTAGTTAATTTAAACATTATAAAGGAAGTACCGATACTCATTAAAGGAGTATTGATACTCCCTGTCCTGGGCAGTTTTATTTTGCAGAGATTTTATGCCCATCGGCTCCAAATCATCCCCAAAGGATAGAAACAACCAAAACACATTCCAGCATATAAAAATAAGTTGATGACACTTGAAGAAGGGTTAGGACACATATCCAAGCAATCAAACACAAGAGAAGAGCTTTTCACTCTTTATTTCTTTTCTCTTGTAAATAGTCGTGTTTTTGTGAGCTTCAATTTGTAAACACCTACATTGTAAGGGTTTTCTTGTTTACATCTTTGTCTTTTTGTAAAAAGGGCTTAGGTTCTATCTTAGCCAATTGAAAAGATAGGGATTTGTAAAGGTTATCTCTTTGTCCTAGAAAAAGAAAGAACAAATTAGTGAATTTGTTAGAATATCCTTGGTGAGGAGTTAATGTAGTGGATGTAGACTTTGGTTGAGAAAGTTGAACCACTATAAATCTTCGTGCATGAATTCTCTCATCCTTTATCTCCTTAATCCCTAAATTTTTCTCAGATCCACTTCAACCCCTATTGGAAAACCATTTGGTTGTTCATTGAGCTTCATTGAATATCCTAACAGACACATTTAATATGAAAACATTAGCAAACAAATCAGTCCAACTATTTAGTGGTTAATCAAATTGTAAAAAAAATTATTTAAACCAAACAATGGATCAGAAACTAAATTAGACCGAACTTGTAATTTTCATTGCAAAGACAATTAATTAATTGACTATCGGCCCGACCCTCTAAAAAAAGTCCCCAATAGAGACGCCAAGCTGTCAAAACGATTTTTTCTTTTAAAAAAACAACATATTTAATTTATTTTTAAATTAATTGTGATTTAAAAAATATCTCTTCGAAAAATATGGGATTTTTCTTTTCAAGTAAAAAACCAAAATATTTTTTTTTTCATTTTAATGAGATTTAATTTTAAAAATATTAAAACAACATTTTAAGGTCTTCGCACCAAAAATTGAGTTCAGGAATGAATTACACGTGGGGAAGGATTAGCACCCCACAGCGCCCTAGATCGGTACATAGTCGATTAATTAATTGTCTTTGCAATAAAATCTACAAGTTTGAGTTTAATTTAATTCAAGATTCCTTCAAATAATAATCTTTGAACTTTAGGAAAAAATGATAATATTTAATTATTTCCTACCGAGAAAAAACGACCTCTCATGTCTTAAAGCATTCAATTCTTACTCCAATTGAAATAAACAAATATTACAAGTCCATTCTAAAATTCATTATTAATTTAAATGCATGAATGATAATAAAATAAAGTAAATTAAATTAAAAATTACCAATCCTATTAAAAGAAGGATATTTGATTATTTAAAGTCGTCGAGATCAGACCTTTTATAAGTTCTAACGATCATTTCTTGAAGAATTTAAAAAGACAAACACTCATTTTTCTCTTGTTCCCAAATTTTAGATGTTGAATTTTAGGGTTTACTTAATGGATGCACTTTCATTTTAAAATTGTTGGAAGTAACTTTCTTATACGTGTTAACTCCATAAAAAGGCCATATTTATGGCCTTTTCACTTAAGTTATTGATTGTCTAAAAGCCCATATAGGATCATATAGATGCCTTTAGGAGCATATAGTTGCATGGGTGGAAATATATTTTTTGTGGCATTTTATTTTGAAAATGGTGTTGCGTTATAGGGAATGTCTTTTGTTTGATGATGTGTAGGATTTTGGAGCAAGGATAAGCGAGGAGAATTGTCGTGACATATTGGGAACAATGAGAAAAATATAAATGCCAACTTAAAATAGCATTTCTAAAGTAGAAAAGACTAAAGAAGATGGTTTTAAGAGACAACTTTCCTTGTCTTCATGTGCCTTCAACTGCCAAACACCTAGGAGGGAACATCTGCACCTTTGTCGGTCGACCTTGTCTGAATGTACGTCCAGCTGCCAGCCTCCCAGGATAGACCAGTGCCACGTCACCAAGGAGGGGACCACTACCACTTCTGTATCACCCCTCACGCGAAGGGAACCAACTTGGGGTATCATAGGAATTTTGATACAATCCCTAAGTTTATTTTCCACTAAATAATAGATGAGGCCACCGGATGAAAGGGGGATTTTACACCATTTTGAGCTAAATCCTTGAGAAAATAGTAAAGAAGCAGTTGAAAGAAAAACGTTCCTCCTTTTTCTGTCATTCTCTTTTGTCGTGTCATTCCTCCATTAACAAGCTAGAGGGAGTGGCAAACTAGACATCCGATAGGATCTAGCAAGCTAAGACGGTTTGTGGCGGCTGATGGGAGTTTCGACAGTGCATGTCGAAGACTTTTTCCTCCATCCCTTTGTTTTCTTAGCACTTATCATATTTGGGTTGTATGGAATGAATGATCATTATGTCCTGTTGCTTGGAATATTCGAACCCTACCATGAACTAGCTTTATTTGGTGAGAGTTTAGTACAGATGTTTAAGCTTTTTTGTAATGGATGGTTGTTTTTCTTTATGTTCCTTTTTGTTTTGCTTATGGTGCTTAATATCTTAAGGTTATAAGAGCTATAAGAGTAGCCATTCCTTAGGAAATTACTTAGGTTGCGTTTGGTTCGCTGGAATGTTTATGAGGGAATTGGAATCTGTGAAGGAATTAGAATCTGTCAGGAATTGGAATCCAATTCCATATTCTGTTTGGTTGGCAGGAAATGGAATTGAAATCCAATTCCATATTCTGTTTGGTTCGCAGACATGTCAGATGAATTCGATTTCAGTAATGTAAAATGACAGAATTGCCCTTCTTGTTTTTTTGCTTTATTTTAGTTTGTTTTACAACTTACATGTAGTAATATATTATAAAAAATTAAAAAATATTAAATTTTCATTTTATTGATTGATTATTCATTTCAATAAATTATAAAAATCATGCTAATAAACATCATAAGTTAAAATCATCGCAATCAAAATATGTTAATAAGTTACCAAAAGATAGAGCAATATTTCGATACATTCCAATCGGAGTATGTTAATTAGTTACTAAAACATATACCAAAAACTATTTTTATTCAATATATGAATTAGAAACCCGACCCGACATGATACGAAATAATAAAAAAATTATTTTTATTCAATAAAAACATGGACTTAATTGAAAACAAATATATATAGGGGTATTATTGTAATTATTCCTAAATATATAAGGTAAAATTATATATTTTTTTTGGGTCGGGTCCGATTTTTTCACCCTAAACCCAAACCCGACCCGACCTGAATATCACAGTTAAAGACCCGACTCGAATATCACAGTTAAAAACCCGACCCGAACCGAACAAAATAAAGTATCACCCGGCCCGACCCGAATATATGAATTAGAAATCTGACCCGACCCGACCCGAAATAATAAAAAAAATATTTTTATTCAATAAAAACAGTGACTTAATTAAAAATATATATATATATAGAGGGGTATTATTGTAATTATTCCTAAATATATAAGGTAAAATTATATATATTTTTGAGTCGGGTATTTTTCACCCTAAACCCGAACTCGACCCGACCCGACCCTAATATCACACTTAAAAAACCGACCCAACCCGACCAAAATAAAGTTTCACCCGACCCGACCCGAAATAATAAAAAAATATTTTTATTCAATATATAAATAAGTTACCAAAAGATTGATAAGGGTAGTATGGTCAAATTTCAATTCCCTCCAACAAGGGAATTGAATTCCATCCATTCTTGGATGGAATTCACTTTCTCTCATTTGATGGAAAGTTGAAGCCATGAGGGATTCTAATTCCCTTGGAAAACATGAACCAAACATGGGAAAGTGGTGGAATTGGATTCCAATTCCCACCAATTCCAAGGGATTCCAGCGAACCAAACACCACCTTAGTGTTTGAGAGAAACTAAGTATCTCATTTTTAGTGTTCTAAAGAAACTAAGGAGGATCAATATAAGCAATGGGTTTTAGATAGTAACTAGGCCTAATCCACCTTTAGACATAAGGCTAGGATTTCAATCGACTAAAAGGAGTAGTGCTCGATCGAGAGGTTAGATACTAGTGCTGACGCCGAGTGGTATTGTCGTGACATATTATGTTTATCAGAACCAATGGGATAATTGTACTTGCTAACGCCGAGAGGTATTACCAAGGCATTCTCAACCTATCGAGTCTCTTAACTACAGATAGTATAGGGCACCTTTAGTAAACTCTTTCGGGCAAGCAAGACATAGAAGTAAGACCATCCTGAGAAAATGGACCTAAGTTTCCTAAGTCACTCCTATCATTCATTCCCATAGTAGATTGTTGTGTGAGGATTATCAAGCCATTCTATTAAAATATATTGTTTTCATTTTGTTTTTCATTTACATTCTTATTTGATTACTCTACACATATTCTATTTTTTCATGACATCTCCATTTACTGCCACATCACACTATCATTCCATCCCCGTTAACATACATTTCACATTGCCTCACATTCTCATTAGTACATACCATCACACTAACTATACTTAGATAAAGTAGTTCTTTGCTTTGATTAAACTTATAAATTTCCTCCAATCCCTGTGGTGATGATACTAATTATCACTGTATTACTTGTTTGATTGTGTACACTTGTATATACTTTGCGTCCATATTAAGTACTCACAAAATGCGGACAAGTTTTGGCACCATTATCGGGGATTGGCAACTGGAAGTTAATTAGTTTTGTCATAGCATTTTTATTTTACTTTTTCATTTTTTATATAGTTTTACATGTTATTTTCCTTGTATTTTTTAGGTTTTTCTTAGTGTATGACTAGAAGACACTCTGACAACCCATTAGAACCAATTGAACCTGAGATTAAGGGATTTTTAGGCAAAAAATATGTGCTCAACGTGTTCAAGGTGCAAAAATATATCAAATTGGCAATCAACGTATTAGTCAAGAGGAAGATCAGAATACTGAGGTAATTCTGAATGTTAGGAATGGAGGTAGGCCTCGTGCCATTTAAGATCACTTAAATCCTATCTTGGACGACTTAAGTCCATGAATTGTGGCACCCGAGATTCAGGCATTCCCATTTTTAGCTTAAACCAGTCAGGTTAATATGATGAATTCTATAGGGTAGTTTGGGGGAATGCCTCATGAAGATGCCAGACAACACATCTGTAACTTCTTGGTGTGTGTGTTTTTTTTTCGACAAAAGGAGTGCACGAAGATGTATAGAAGTTAAAGTTATTTCCATATTCTCTGTGTGATTGAGTGAGGGCTTGGTTGAGTGGTGTTCCAACTGGCTCGATGTAGTCTTGGACTGATATGCGTAAAAGTTTTTTGTTGTAGTATAATCTGTCGAACATGAACACTCAACTGAGGAACGACATCGCTTCTATTCGTCAAGATGATGACAAATCAATGTATGAATGATGGGATCGGTATAAATAATTGCTTTGCAAATGCTCTAATCATGGTTTTCAAGATTGGACTCAAGTGGTAATGTTCTATAATGGACTAAATATACCCATGAGGATGATGTTAGATGCTTAGCAAATGGAACATTGCTCGATAAATCACCTATAGAGGTGTTTTATATTCTGGATAGGATTGCCAACAATGATTATCAATTCTCATCTACAAGGCTTGGAATTGGACGAAAAGCGCATGTGGCATTCAAGTTGGATATTAAAGATGTCGTGTCTTCCCAACTTGTTGCAATCACCAATATGTTGAAGAATTTGCAACGAACAAGTGAAGTGAAAGAAGTTAAGGCAGCCAACTCATCATGTTTATTATGCTATGGAAATCACCATGAGAGTGAGTGCCCGACCAATTAGAAATCCATCAACTATATAGGAAACTACAATCGAGGCAATAACAACCCCTATTCTAACACTTATAATCCTGTATGACATCAACATCCAAACTTCTAGTGGAGAAATCAAGAAACTAGCAATACTAATCAACCTGTTAAGCCGTAGAATTTCAATAACTCCCAAGGTTTTCAAACGAATATGCCATGGCATATTTCTAACAAGGGAGTATCATCTTCATCCAACACAAGTTATTTGGAGGCCACAATCCAAGATTTTATAGCAACCACGAAAACCATGCTGCAAGACCATGCTACCTCCATAAAAAACCAAGGACCCTTATTACACAGTCAATGAGCTTTACTTCAAAGCCACAACTCATCTCTGAGGACTTTGGAGGGTTGGGTTGGTCAAATTGTCGCGACAATACAAGAATGTCAACCAGATCATCTATCGAATGACACTAAAGTCACTAAAGCCCATGGAAATTAGCAATTTAGTGCACTCACTGTACGGAGTGGCACCCAAATCAATATACAAGACAAGTTTGGGAGAAGAAAGAATGATGATTTACCCCCTATAACTATGCCAGATGAGCATGAAGTGTTATAAGAAACACAAGTGGAGGAGGATAAGTATAAAGGTTCATCCAGTGAAACTACTGAGGGAGCAAACAAAAGTGCCACGAAAAATGTTGTTCCTATCAATTCACTAAAAGAAGTTAGACCCCACCAACCTTCCCACAAATACTAAAGAAGCATAATGATGACATTCAATTCAAGAAGATTTTCGATAATCTGGACCAACTCCACATTAATTTCCTTTTCTTGAAGCTATAGAACAAATACTGACATATGCTAAATTTCTCAAAGAGATTGTTACCAAGAAAAGAAAACTGAGAAGTTTGAGACCATTGCCACGGTAAAAGTGTACTACTCTGCCTTGTGCAAGCTTTTGCCAAAGTGACAAGATCTAGGAAGCTTGATCATTCCATTTTTTATAGGAGAAAATAATGTTAGAAAGGCACTATGTGACATTGGC